AAGAAAGAAAGAAAGAAAGAAAGAAAGAAAGAAAGAAAGAAAGAAAGAAAGAAAGAAAGAAAGAAAGAAAGAAATGGCCCTGAACTGTCAGTGAGAAGGGAGCCAAGCACCCTGGGGCGGAGGGTCAGGAAGCATCTCCACAGATAGCACACAAAGCTGGTGTTATGTCAAAGGGCATAATCCACACACTGGATCCTCATGAGAGAGGGGTTAATCTAGAAAGCAGAGCCTTCAAAGGGGAACATAGACAAAGTGAGGAATCTACATGATGGGCAATCTCAACAAATTAATCCACAAACTGAATAATCCACAAACAGGATAATCTATTGAGTAATCTACACATCTGTAATAGACAAAGTAGAGATCAGTAATGGTCATCACAGAATGAAGCCACCAGAGGCTCTCTGGTCCCCAGGTGGCCCCCTCCCACTCCCATGGCTCCTCGCCCTGTTCATTACTCACTCCGCCTCTGTCTCTTCCCTTTGATCCCCCGGCTGCCAGCAGTGAGATGCATCCAGCTCAGAACCAGGGCCACCACACACAGCCCAAGCCGCATAGTCACTCGCCAGCTCTAGGCCCCTGGTAGGAGGGGTGGTCTCTGGGGCAGTGGATGGCGCAGGGCTCTTGCTAACGCCTCCGGGGCTGGGTCAACAGCAGGAGGCCCAGGCCTGGGCCGTGTCCCAAATCCACCATAATCTTAGGTGGGGACAGAGAGGGTGTAGGGAGCCCACTTCTCCATCAGCCCATAAGGATGTCCAGAGAGCTTTCCTCAAAGGCACTTGGGAGTGTCACATGGGAGAACTTGTTGTCACTTCAGCAGGGACACCTCCAAAACCCAACCTGTTGTGGGAGGAGAGAGAATGATTAATTCCAGGGTACTATGGGGTCCCCCCAATTTATGCCTCCTATACTCCCATGTGGTCTCCTGCCCAGGAGACTGTGAGAACTCAGAATGTTTGAACATCACAAGTTGCCCACCTGGCACCCCCATTGAAGAAATCTATTCCTTTTCCTATCTTGCAGAATTCCCTAACCTGGGACTAGAGCTGGCTACCCAAGCAGCTGGAATATGGTGGACCCTCAAACTAAACTTGTGGATCATTGGGAACCAGCTGATCCTTACCCAATATTGGCCAGTTCTAACTGGAAGTCCTTCTTTAGGTCTACCCTACAGACCCCATGCTGCAGTAATATCATGTCTATTAAAGAGAAGCTCTCTCTGTCCTTCTGTGGCTGACCCCCCAGCTTTCTCATCCCAGTGCTGCATCACCCATATGTCTTTCACCTGTCCAGGAGCTAGAGCAGTGGCCCCTGACAAGCTGGCAGACTCTGCGTGGCCCTCTGGGCTTGGCGGGAGAAAAGGAAGTAAGGCTTCCCCGGCCACAGAAACTCTGACACAGCAGGCCTGGCGGGCCTGGCCTTTGTGAGAGGATAAAAGAGGCAGCTATGCCTGCCCTGGCCAGAGACATAGAGAATGGGGATAATCCCCCAGCCCAGTGAAAGCCAGGTCTCTGGACCGCTGGCTGCGTGATGGGGGCAGGGGGGAGCTAGTCCTTCCCCAACAAAATGTGTCTGGGAAATTGGAGCCCAACCTGGGAGTCAGAGGATGGAACCCCAGTGCACACTCACAGGACTGAATGCCCTCACAGCAGAGGCCAGCCCAGGCTTCACTGCATATCCACATCCCCTCACACAGGGACAGGAGGAAACAGGGAGACTTCAGGAAGCTTTGTACCTGCCGGGGAAGCATCGCCCTTCCATTCACTGGTTAGATGCCTTTGGACAAGTCGCCTAGCCTCTCTGAACCTCAGACTCTTCATCTATAAGATGGGGATATATATGCCTATTTCACAGGCTTGTTCTGAGAGTTGGCTGAGTTTTGGCTTACGAATAAGAAATCTGAATTGCTGGAGTAGAGGTGCCCTTCCCAGCCCCTGTCCCAATGAGCTCTCTCTTTGCCTCTCAGAGAGGCCCCAGGAGAGCCCACCTGCATGGGAGATAAATCATGGTTCCTCAGGGGAGATCAGCACCTCCCTCCTCAGTCTCTCTCACTGGCTTTGAAGGCCAGACACACACAAGTGGTTAAGCTGCCTGTGAGAAGTGTTTACATGAGGCTGATGGATCCCACCTGGTGCTGGGGCCAGAGCCAGCAAAGATGCCCCTAGCCACCCTTAATGCCCTGTGGGCTGCCAGCCCCTACCTACCCCTCCAGTGCTCCCTGCATGACCTGCCAAAGCCTTCCCATCCCCCCTACCCCCCACTCACACTTCCATCACCTTGAGTTTGTCAAACTGAGGTCTTTAGCCCCAAGTACATAGTCTCAGAGGTTGGCCATAGAGCATGTGAGGGTCAAGGGCACAAACTTCAGAGTCAGACTGCCTGGCTTCAAATGTTGGCTCCCCTACTTATTAGCTGTTACTTTGGGCTAATTGCTTAGCTGGTCAGAACCTCAGTTTCCTTATCTGCAAGAGGGTTGTTGTTTTTTATAGCTTAAATGAGTTAATACATGAAACTGCTTAGAATGATGCCTGGCACATAGCGAGGACTCAACAATATTCACTGTATTTTCTACGACCAAGACTTAATTTTGTGGCTGCATTCCAATGGTCATCTAAGAAGCAATATAAACAGTTTTTGTTGTCATCTAGATATGCATCTTAACACTGAGCACTGTTATGCAATTTCCATATTTGCATTTATCTCTATCGTTGATCACCTTGGCCCCAAAGTGATTGCTCAGAGTGATAGGGTTAACCTTTCACTGCAGCATTTCTCAAACTGAGATTGAGGACCCCAGGCAGATATATTCTCAGGGTACCATCGGTCTTTACACTGGACAGACTCTGGAGGAGAAGACCACATCAGAAACACCTGGTGTTAAATGCTGGGTCTGTGAGACTTTGGTCTCACTGTGGGATCAGTGCCTCTGGGGTCCTTGGTGCAGAAAAGGTCTCCTGTGAACCTCTGCACTCCCTGTGCCTGTCCTGCACAAAGCGTGTCACTTCAGGGTTAGTGCTCAGCAAAGGTTAGCTCCCTTCCTCTCCTTCCCTCTAATTCCCTACCCCTCCACCCCAATCCTCCCAGGTCTTAGCTTTCAGCCAGCTCTTGCCATGCTCACCCAGTCCTGGCCCACTCCCACTTGAAGCACCATCAAACCAAGATCTCAGCTAGGAAATAGGGAGGAGGGTCTAGAAGTGACTGCCACTGGAACAAGTGACACTGGTCTCTCTCACCCACCACTGAACAGGAAAAGTTTCAAGCACTTGAAAACATACGGTATATGCAGATAGAATCAACTCTGAAAAGGACCTAAGAGTTTTTTATACCAGGGGTACAAGCAACAAATAGGAAGGAAACTGCATGTGTATGTATGTATGTGGGTGGGGGTGGGGCTGGGGGTAAGAAAGCGAAGGGCAAATGCTCCATCTAAAGGGAGCATATGCTGTTCACTTGCAGTTGGTTGTTGATAGCTAGAAATAATGACTCAGTACTACCAGATCTGATTTTTTAAAAGTTGAAAGTTCAGAATTTTATGTCAAATCTGATTTTAAAAGCTGGATATGTCTCAGACTGGGAACCCCAGCTCATCCCTGCCATTCCCCACCACACACACCACTTGCAGTGGACGTGCGCGCGCACACACACACACACACACACACGTGGACTAGGGCTGAGAGAGGAGATAGGAGCTGATGACTTTCTTTTAAGTAGCCTGCCTTATTTCTGTTCGTTCCCCTGTCCGATTTCCCTTGCCCCCTGGGTTATATGGCAGAAGCGGTTCATGTTTTGAGGCCCAACGTGCTGGCAGTGATCAAGGTCTCAGGCATCTGTGGGGGGTGAGGCAGCGCATTTCGTCTCTGCCAGGGTGGGAATGAGGGATTCGTATGCATCACCGACCTGCACCGCCTGCCATGTGCTAGGCTCTCATTTACTCCTCAAGGAGGAAAGTAAAATTCTTCCTCTTTTACTGGCAGGCAGAGGTTAAGGGTCTTGCGCTTGCAAACCTAGTCAGTGACCAGCCGCTTCGCTACTTAGGACTGGGGATCTGGAGGGCGGGGCAAAGAGCAGGGAGTTGGGGCGTGTTCGGCATGAGCCAGCTGGGGGACTAGACCCACGGAGGTGGGGAAGGGGCTGGAGGCAGAGGCAGAGCTCGGGTGGGAGACCGAGGAGAGAGGCCGCTCGTGCTAGGTGGTCCGGAGGGCACAAGCTAGGGAGGGGGACACAGTTGGGGGTGGAGCTGAGGGCGGGGACTCAGTCCCCCCAGAGGGCTGGAATACCTTTCACCTTTTTGCTTGCAACACTATCAGGATAAATTGGTATTCCGTCCGGGGCCGGACACAGACCCAAAAATGTAAACCATCCACATCATTTCTCATTAGCCCTCCCCAGGACCCGCTACGGGTGTAGAGTTTTGGCCGCGGTGTGGGCTGGCGGGTGGGGGCAGAAGAATTGCTAGACTGGGGGCGGGACCAAGTGCTTGCCTGCCGGACCTGTCGGGATTAGGGTCCGCCAGAGCTAAACCAGGTGCTGCCTCCCACCCCCGCCCCCAACACCAAGGGTGAGGTCGTCCCTCCATCACCGCTCCAAGCGTGCAAATTCTTCCCTCCCCACCATCCGGAAGAGGCCCGACAGGTGCAGGGGGAGGGGAGGCGAACCTGAAGTCCCCCGACTGCCGCCCCCCCCCCAATCCAAGAATACTCGCGAAGTCCAAGAGGCCAGTTTCATAAGAAAACTCCTGCCCCAAGTGCTCGTACCCAGAATCCGCCCTTGCCCTCCTGGGAGCCCGGGGCGAACACACAGCCCCCACCTCTCCCCAACCAAGCAAATGTCATCCTGCCCCGCGGGCCACTGAGCCGCGCCACCTCGCAGCTCAAGAGGGCCGCCGCGCAAGCTGCCTGCCACGTCGGACCCGGGCCGGGCCTGCGGGACTGGGGTGGGGATAGGTAACCCAGGGGCCGTAGGACGAGGAGAAATCCGAGATGAGACCAGGGATCAAAGCTTCTGACTTGGGGGTGATGTTGAAGGGGGCTGGCGGACTTGGGGAGTTCAGAACTACGAGTGAAGACGATCACTGGGGCTGCGGGGATGAGGGGAGCCCGAGGTAGCAACCGGAAGGCGGCTGCCCACTGGCTTGCGGGATGACGCGGGCGGAGGGCGGCAGGACTTGCAGGAGGGGTTCCAAGAGGTGCCCTCTCCCGCCCTCGCTGACCGGAGCGCAGTCAGAAGTCCCCTTGCTGTCTGTCCCCCGCGCTCAGCTCGGCCAAGCCCCGACGGGAGGGCCCACGGCACCCCAGGCCCCAGGGAAGGGGGCGCTAGGGAGGAGGACGGGGTAGCTCAGGGGGGACTCACCTCCACGCTGCCAGCCGCGGCGGGGACAGGCCCGGGAAGGGCGAGGGCGAGGCCGGCTCACTCGCCCGCGGTAGGACTGTCCCGGGCTCCCGGCTCTCCCGCGCTCCGCCCGCGGGTTCCCAAGTTGCTCAATCTACGGACGGCTCACGCCCTCCGGGACCAGAGCCCCACCCGGCGAATCGGTCCTCTGGGGCAGCTCGGTCCGGCCCTCGCTCTCCGCAATGCCCCTCTTGGCGGTCCGCTCCCGGCTCTCCACCCGGTGCTCGTGCTCTCCGTCGCGCCTCCGCTCGGCCGGAGCTCCCAGCTCGGAGAGGAGCCAGTCCTCCGCTCGCACGAGGGAGGGAATCCCCCCCTTTGCAGTCCCACCTCCGAGCCGGCCCCCCTTCCCGGGATCCACAGGAAAAAACGGACTGGAGCGCCAGGCCCGGGAGTCCGTAGCCCCCTCCCGCACGCCCTGGCCCGCAGCTGGGACGCTGCGTTTGGAGCGCAGGACTGACAGCCGCACGTGTGCTCTCGACCCGGGCGCAGACCCTCTGCCCGTACTCCTCCCCTCCCCGCGCCCTGCATCCCGGGGATTCCACGCAGCCAGAGTCGGGGCTGCAGCTGCAGCTCCAGGCACCCTGAGGTCAAAAACAGGGCTGAGGAGCCTCGGGAAACCTCAGTTTCCCTATCAGGATTCTGGAAAATGACAAGGAACAAGCTCAACAGGGTCTGTTGTCCTGGCCAAACGCCCTCCTCCTCTCAGGGTCAAGTCTTCAGAGCATCTTCGCAGTTCAGAGAAAACGTGAGGCTACAAGATCCCTAGCACCCAGGTGAGGACAATTCCACACGGAACTGGTGTAGGAGAGTGGGGGAGACTTTGAAATAAAACCTAAGTTCAAATCCTGACTCAATCACTGACCAGCTGTGCGGCCATGCCTAAGTTACTCAACCTCTCTGAGCTTCGGGGTTCTCATCTGTTTTGAGGGTTCAGTGAAATGAAGGATCCAACCTCCATAGAGCCTGATAAATGGTAGGGGCTCTATAAATGTTTGTGGAATGAGCCCTGAAGGGTTGCAGACACCTGCCATGACCCAGATGATGTTGAAGTCAAGCCTGAAGAAGAGAGGCAGGGAGACTCACTTCTCAGGGTGGCACCCAGCTGCTCTCCAGCTCCACTTCAGAGCAGGTAAAGGAAAAGGGGCTAAAACTGTAGTTAGCAGGAGTTAAGTGAGAGCAGAAAAGCTATACTGATTGTGTGTGTGTGTGTGTGTGTGTGGGTGTGTGTGTGTGTGTGTGGGTGTGGTGGGGGGGAGTAGGGGTGGTGGGTAATGAAGACAGGCTGTGGAATCTCTTCAGGAGAGGAGAGGAGAGCACTACAGAGACAAGAGCACAGTCTTTTAGTGACAGGGGAATGGATAGCATGACCCTTGGTGTGTCCTAACAGCCAAGGAGCAGGGATGGCGGATGGCAAGAGAAAGTGGAGCCCTTGGGAGTTGGGTCCGAAACGCGCTGTGTCTGGGCTCAGTCAGTCAGAGCATGGCCAAGTTTGCAGGAGGCAAATAGCCACTTCCGAGTTGGTGCTGAGCCCCCTCCAACCTCCTCTCCAGCCCCTCCCCTCGCCCCTCTACCCTGAGCCTTCTCTGTGTCTCACTGGCCCTTGGCTCTGCTCCGTGCCTAATCAAACAGCCCCAAATGCTGAAAACTCAATGTTTATTTTATTTTATTTTTTTACACACTTGCATAACTCCCTGACAAGCCACGCCAGGCGTTGGGCTTTTTGTTTGGCTTTATTTTGTTGCATTTAGGGGAAAAAAAAGAGAGCAAGAGAGAGAAGAGAAGGAATAACACAAACCACCGAGCCCTAGAAGCTGTCTTAGGCCAGGCAGTGGGCTCAGATTTCCTGCCTGAGGAAAAGTCTGTGGGAGTTGAAGGGGCTCACTACTAGGCTCAGGAATGAGTGAGAAAGGGGAGAAAGCCACCTGGGTCAGAGAAGATAATGAATTAGAACCATGTGACAATGATGGGTGAATAACGAAGAGCATTTCTTGTGCATCTAATATATGCCAAGCACTGTGCTTGTTTATATATCGTTCCTTAATTTTGCAACCATTTTACTTTCCTTTTTCCTTTTTCTATTTATCTTATCAATGTAAATTCTGAGCCTTCGAGAGGTCAAGCAGTTTGCTCAGGGACACATGACCTGAAAGTGGCCAGCCCTGTTCCTATTATACTAAATGACTTGTAATTTCCCTTAGAGAGCCATGTTGCCCTGAGTTTGCATGTGCTGTTCATTCTGCCTAAAAGTGCCTTTTTCTCTGACCCTTCTCTTATCATCCTTCAAAATGCCCACAGGACGTTTCATCTGGCCACCTTGCACATCAGCCTTGTATAGACTGCACATTATTCATCACTAGCTTGCGACTGTTTTTCCCACTATACTGTGAACCCCTTAGGACAATGACTGTGTCTGACTCGTCCTTATGATCCAACACTATGGACATACTTAATTGGATTGTACCTTTTTTAAATCCTGCAAGATGATTCAGACAATGTTATTCAGATGATGTCCCAGGTCCCTATCACAACTCACCCAGGCCAAGATCATCATGCTCATTAGAAGACCAAAGGTCGGTGGACTGGACCAGGGCAGTAGCTCCTAGAGATGAGCAAAGTTCTTTATACTTCATGTTATCCTTTTTTTAAAGGTTTTTTTATTGGGGAATTGGGGGGAGGGAAATAGTGTTGGGGAATCAGGGAAGGGGGACAGACAAGTTGCTGTTCTTCAGTCTAGTTGTGGAGGATGTCACTTCACTGGCCCATGTTGGCACCATCACTGCGCTCCTCCCGGGTGAGGCAGTCGCTCGCTGGCCATTGGACGGCCACTCACGATGGCTCACGGCAGCTCATGAAAGCACACACCAGCTGCCGGCCAGCCCCACCGCAGCCTACGCCGTTGCCAGCGACACCCAGCAGCCCAGCTCCAGGTTGAGCTGTTGTTCACCATCTTAACTGTGGAGGAAACAGTGTCACTGGCCCTCATGTGGGATCCAAACCGGGGCCCTGCTGCTCAGAGCTGGTGTCCCAAGCCAACCCTTAACCAACGCGCCACTCGGCCAGCCCTCACATTATTCTTTACTAGGCAAATACTATTCCACCACCTGCATTTTCACTGTATCAGTATATACTTTTAGCTACAATTAATAGAAGACCAAATCAAAATAGCTTAGACAGCAGGATGGCTCATTATTTCACGTACCAAGAAAGGCTGTGGTAGGAATAATCCAGTAGCTCAGCAGCCACGTTGGATTCTTTCCTATATTCTCATTTTTCTATCCTCAGTGTGTTGGCTACTAACCTCATGATCGCAAGATGGCTGCAGCAGCTCCAGGCACTGCATCTTTACCAACCAAGTCCAGCTGCCTCTTTTAAAGAGTTCACTGGCACTTGAAAATGGTTAAAGTGGTAACTTTTGTGTTATATGCATTTTACAATTAAAAAAAAATTTTTAAGAGAAGCTAACTGGATCACATGCCTACCGGTGAACTAATCATAGACAAGAGGCATGATGATACTAAGATTATCTTAGACCAGTTGGGATTCACGTACAGTACATGGGAAGAGTGTTCACAGACAAAAGCAGGACTCTGTCAGCACTGAAGAAGGGAAAGTGGCTTTGGGGAAGACAGCTAACAGTATTTGTGATCATCGCTATTACTCCAAGAAAAGCTGACTTTGTTCTTCTCAAGTTCTCACAGACTCCTCTGCAAACCTTAGTTTCCATGAACCCCACTGTTTTCTGAGATCTTGTCATTCTCTCTTTCATGGAGGCAGTATAGGATGGTGGTGAAGTGCAGGGACACTGGAATTAACGCTGTCTGAGTTCAAAGCCCATCTCTACTACCAACTAGCTCAATGTCCTTGGGCAAGTTACTTCACCTTCCTGAGGCTCAGCTGTAAAATGGGTATAGTAACAATATCTACCCCACCACAGTTCTTATGGGGATAACACAAGGTAATACATTTAAAGAGCTTAATGCACCGCTAGGACTTACAGTGAGTCCTTAGTACATGCTGGATAATTCATTATAATTTTGTCTTTTCATTAATTAAATATTCACTGAGTGCTATTGTATCCCAGGAACCAGGCTGGAAATGGAGGATAGAGAAATGATATCACACTGTCTGTTTTTCTAAGGAGTCTGTGGTCTAACAGGAGAGATCGATAAGACAAGGCAGATGAGGTAGAGTGACAGCACAAAGGAAGGGGTGATCACGACTCCTTGAGGGGGTCAGAGAAGCTTCCCCAAGGAGGAGATGCTTAGAAGGCTTCTTGGCATTTTCCAGGCACATGAGATGAAAAAGGCATTTCAGGCAGAGGGAATGGCATGTGCAAAGGCCCAGAGGCCTGATGCATCCTGATGCTCTTAGAGATATAAGCAGTTCTGGTTTGTGGGGATTTAGGATGAGAGAGGTGGGGAGGAGGGCAGCAGCTGAGATCCTTCCAGAAGGGTCTGTGGTACCAGGCTAAAGAGCAGGGACTTTACCTGGAGGGCAGTGGGAAGCCCCTTGGTTGTTATGAGGCAAGTGAGAGGCAGGGTTGGAGTTGTGCTTTAGAAGAAGTGCCTGGCAGCTCTTGCAAAGGATGAACTTAACAGGGAGAGGCTGGTGGGGGTGCAGAGCCCCAGTGAGTGAGGGTGAGGGGTTCCTTCGCAAGAGCATTGCTCAGCTCTTCCCCGTTCTTCTCTCAACCTCCCTTCCAGAGGTCCAGCTGTGTCAGGTGGGAACCCGCGCACTATAAAACACGCACTCCCAGATTCTCCACCTCGTGTAATGGAGGGAGCTTGGGATTCCCTAATACACACTTGGGACCCTGCAGCCTTCACCCTGCAAGGTCTGGAAAACAACCATCAGCCTTCTTTCCCCCTCATCCTCCCTTCCTCACCCTCCATTCATCTGCTCTTTCCCATGCTTCCTGGCACCTCCCTCCTCTCCTCATCTTTGGGACCCACCATGTGCCCTTTGGTGTCTCCTTTGCTCACACGGGACTTTGACATCTGTCTCAAGGTCCTCTTGTCCACTGCAAACTCCAGCGCCATCTGGGAGACCTCATTCTCCATGTCAGTATCATACCCAATACCCCCTGGGCCTCCCAGGCAGTGCTGGTATTCTTGTCCACTTCAACCCCTAAGATCCCAGACCCATAGACAACCCCTCACCCCCAGAACCTCCTTCTGTTCCCATCCTCTTCCTCCCAATTCAGATTCTTGACATTTCAATAACTTGATAGTAATTTCTGCAC